GTTCACGAAACCCATGAACCAGAACTCGTGGTTGTCGACCGAAACGACCTGAATGTACCTCTCTGCAGGGTTTTGCTGACTTGCTGTGGGAGTAACTGATCTCAGGTGAGGAAGGGGCAAAACAACCTGTTCAAGCGTAGATAAATGATCAGGCGTGATTGTTACTAGGAACTGGCCACAAGTGAGTATATCTTTCAATGACCAAAATTCAGAGACTAAAACAAAGCAGCATGTAGATGTTTATAAACCAAGACTAGCAAATCTGCCGTTTCCATTTTGTCAATATAATATACTAGTAAGTAGCAACTCTGTAGCACACGTATCAATCTCTATACTATACATAAAACTGGGGATAACTGCAAAATCAAGTATTGCCTCCATTCCTAATTACAAGACGTTTTTTCTTTTTTAGATACATTGCTTTTGCTATGTATCTAGACATAATGTTTATCTAAGTGCATATCAAAAACCATGTATCTAGAAAAGCAAAACGCCTTATAATTTGGAATGGAGAGAGTACTTCATATTTAGCAACCAATTGGTCATGTACTCTAAAAGTTCATACATTATCTTATAACAAAGTCATGTGAAATAACCATGAGTGCCCTTTTTAGCATCAGACCCGGAGTACCAAAGAACTCACTCCACTGCACACACAGAAGAGGAGGAACAGAAGACGCGGGCACCACGTACCTTATAAAAGGATGATTCAGTTTGGTTGTCCTCAGTCACATATTTCACAGGGCTGTCGCTACCGAATGCAATCTTGACAGTCGAGAGATACAGGACGCCCATGATGGGTCCATGCGACGTTGATAGGTAGCACACGTATGCCTTCTTGAGCTTCTCATCAGGCGAGCACTCAAAAGTCTGCTGAAATATCTTGTCGTAGCCACCCTCAGATATAACCTTGGATATCTGAGCAATCCTCCCCATGGCAGTATCAGTAATGCTGGGTCCAGTTTTCACTGCAGAGATGCACACAAAGAGTATTACTATTGCAGTAACACTAGAGTATTATTTCAGTAACAATAGTTAGTTAGTGCGTTGCTTATCTGAACATAGCATAGTTCACGTGTTACTATTAGTGTGCTTCGGATTGGATGCTACGGATCGCCACCATCTAGCAGTAGTACTCAGGATTGGTGTCGGTGCGAGGGAAGTCGAAGCACTCACGGTGCTGCCAGACGTCGCCGGCGATGCCCTCGGTCTTGCGCGCGGCCTCGTTGAACTTCTTCCCCACCATGCCGAACATCTCCCTCAGATTCTCCCTAGCGCCTGCAAGCGGCGATCCATCCCCCAAAACCAGAGCGATGAGGCCGCAACAAGCTAGGCAGCGAAGCGATCACCAAGAAGAAGAAGATGAGCGGCGAAGACCGCATCGAGGGGGCGGGCGCTGACTCACCCTTGGCGGGCGGGTTGGGCGACGGGGCGGAGAGCACGTAGGGGTTGGCGCCGGCCGGCGGCACGACAGGCGGCGGCGGCGGTTCGATGTCCTCCGGGGACAGCCGCGGATACGCCGCGTGCTCCTCGGCCGCCGCGGCGGGCTTGCTGGCGTCGGGCTTCGGATCCATGGGCGGTTGGGGAGTGGGGATCGGCGTCGGTAGGGGGGAGGGGGCAGACACAGACTGCCAGACTGGGGCGGGGTGACCGGGTGGGGAAGGTCGCTGCCTCGCTGGGGAAGCTGTTGCCTGTTGGGCTGTAACGATGTTGATCGAGTGTTGACTGCTCAGAGCCTCAGAGAGGGAGAGGGGGACGAGGACGACTGGCCTGAGCGCGACACGTGGACCCGAACGCGTGAGCATGAGAGGATCGGGCCGTCCAAGTGGCGGAACAACACCGCCAGCTTCAGATGGCGCTCCGACGTCCAGTTGACTTGGAACGCCCGCGCTCTTTCGTATTGTCTCGCACTCTCGCTCGGGTCCCGTGCTCCCGTGTCCCACGACCACGCCGACCAGCGTGAGCTCTGCTCCTGTAGGGCTATGGCGGCCCGCGGCGCTTGGCTGTTGGGAGCGTTTCGCCGACGGGTGACCACCGTCACGCCGTCACGGCTGGTTCAGCAGCGTGTTCCCTGCTGCCGCGAGGCTGCAAGCCAATCACAAATGGTACTGCCGTTCAACAGCCAGCCTGTTCGGTTGGCTGGTTCGTGTCGCTGCTGGTTCGTGAAGAAGTACTACTGGTTGGTTTGTGTGAGAGAAAAATACTGTTCCGGCTGAAAATTTATCATCATTTACGACAAGCCACAGCCAAACGAATAGGCTGAAGATAATCTGGGAAAAAATGCATCTCTCAATTTTACAAGGACACATGTTTCAATGCCATGAATTGAAACCAATATATACAAAATGCTTCTCATTTTTAGTATTAGATTATTTTTCAATTCTTAAGAACCAAACAATCCATGTTTCAATGCCATGAATTGAAACCAATATATACAAAATGCTTCTCATTTTTAGTATTAGATTAGATTATTTTTCAATTCTTAAGAACCAAACAATCCATGTTTCAATGCCATGAATTGAAACCAATATATACAAAATGCTTCTCATTTTTAGTATTAGATTATTTTTCAATTCTTAAGAACCAAACATGATTGTTTTGAGAACCTAAATAAAACTCTTTGAGAAAATTAGTTTTACAGCACCTAAACAATGTTATTTTTAGAAAATACCACAAAAGACCTCCATCACTTAGGACATATTTGGATAGACTAGAACTAACTAGTCATTTTAGCTCCTGTCTATGGACCAATGGATTAGCAAGTAGTCAATGACTAATGGACTAACAATTAGTTCCGTTTATTTTGATCCTTCGAGACTAAAAATTACTAGTCAACTAGTTGTTAGTCGTATGAATCTAAGAGCCTTAGGGGATGTTTGGTTTCCCCTGCTAAATTTTAGTCAGCTAAATCTAGTCCTATTTAGTCATTTTTCACCCAAACACTATGACTAAATGAGACTAAATGGGCTTTAGCCAACTAGTCGTCAGGATGAGGTTAAATAGGACTAAACCTCACATTTTAGTCCCATTTAGTCATTTTAGAGCCAAACACCCGACTAAAAAGGACTAAAAACATCTTTTAGTCATCCAAGCCAAACATCCGATGACTAAAGTTTAGTCCATGGTTTAGCTACTAAAGTTTAAAGGGAAACCGAACAGAGACACTAAGACTATCAATTTTGTCAATACAACCCCTGAACTACATGCTTCTTGCCTTCCCTTTTGAACACTACTACGCTGCCACTGAACACCTTCTCCATGTGCTCCAGCGGCGTTAAAGTTGCGAGGGGGAGCTCGACCTTCAAAAGGGCCAGAGGTGACCGTCTGGTTGGTGGCGGCCGGCATCCGTCAGGACTAGCCGGAGCGGCTGTTTGCAGTTGCTCCTCAACTGTCAACCCCACTCTGTTGCCTGTGACGTTTGCAGCAGATTTCCATGGAACTCCAGCTTTTACCGTTCCTCAAAGAACTGCAGCTCATACCAGTTGCTGGTTGTTTTTAGTTGAAGTGGAGGCCTGAATATCGCATGGCAGAAATTCAGTCATGACGCATATACCAACTAAAATGATAGGGAATTTTTTCTATATGCCATTCGCTATGTCAACTAAAAAACTCAATTTATTATCAATGCCACTATCCATAAACTTTAATCTCTTTCATGCCATTATTTATATTTACCATATACAGAACATAATGTGTCAATAATAACACTTTGATTCCCCAATCTGATTTTCACAGAAAAGAACAGTTGGAATGGCAGAAGTCTGTCATATTGAATAAAAGTATAAGATTTGGTACAAAAAGAAGTGGAATGGAGTTACCATTCAGCGGTCATGTACTGAATTCATTTCAGGATCAAAATTAAATTTTATTTCATTACTTTGTGAGAGTGAGAAGGGCGGGCCTGGTGCAAGCGGTAGAGTCTTACCGCCTGTGACCGGAAGGTCCCGGGTTCGAGTCGCAGTCTCCTCGCATTGCACAGGTGAGGGTAAGGCTTGCCACTAACACCTTTCCCCAGACCCCGCACAGAGCGGGAGCTCTCTGCACTGGGTACGCCCTTACTTTGTGAGAGTGAGATCAAGTCCTTTAATATTGATTTATTGAAATCGCTTACTAATTTCAGCATGATAAAGTCATTTAATTTTGTCATATTGATGATGAACCAATCTAGTCACTGAAACAGTACATAAAAGAAGGGCATGGGAGAGGTCAAATAACATGAAACATGTAGTTAGTTTTTGTAATAAAATAACAGCTAGTTAAAGGACTGAATATGTGCTTTTGCAGTGGTCAATGTTTGTAGTAAATGTGAATTAAACAATAATAGCTCAAGCAACAGTATTCTACCAAGTAAATACAGCTAAAAACTTGCTAGTATGGAAGGTAGCTCAGCTTACAGAATTTTGGAAGACACGTCACTGTTCTCCTTGAGTCAATTGATGTCCTGTCCCAGAAGTGTACTGGTCGTACATCCTCAGCAGTTTCTCCTTAGCCAGCTAGTCACATTTGCGATCAGATCCATTTGTGGTGTCTCTGTCCAAATAATTTTCAGTTATTTCCCAGTTCATCAAACAGCAAACAGATTCTTATATATGTCAATAGCACGTATTCTCAATTCCAATTTCCATCAACAGAACCATTTACTATTCCTTGGAGAATTTATATAGGTGGAGATGGCCGGATAGTTTGAAACAGGTAAATCAAGAAAGATCAAAAAAACACAGATACAAGTAGTGAGACAATAACTACAGAATGGTTCAAGAAACCAGTCTTTGCTGATAGCATTATTTTGATGCATTGCGTATGAATAAACATTGTAAGGAAACAAATCAATTGAAATGATTACGCCTACACCCAGAGGGAAAATGATAGTCCTTGTACAGGATTGCCGGTAAAAAACGCACACATGGGCAGGAACCAGGCAAGCTGAGTCTAAGGAAATCATATTTAACCTTTTACAGGAGGATCAGCAGGAGCACTCACAAGGCAATGATCGATCAAGTCTACTTGATAGTGGTGGGCGGGAGTGAGGGATGGTGGAGCTGATTGCAAGACTGATGGCTGCAAGGGACCGAGGCGGTGGTTGCAGACCAGAGCAGCAGCATCTGTTGAGGGAGGCGGATGATGGTAGAAATAATTTTTGGATCAAGAGCTACATTCTTGGCTCTCATTTCATGTATCAATTTCAGAACCTTGTTTATCTGGCCTTCAGCGCTATAGCCTTTGATCATTGAATCAAATACAGCGACATCAGGCACAAAGCCACTTGCAGTCATCTGTTTAAGCACCCTCTCAGCTTCTTCTAGGTCTCCTAATTTTGCAAACATGTTGATTAGCATAGAATATGTCACGGCATCAGGAGCCAGACCCTCATCAAGCATATCCTTAATCAACTGTTTAACCATTTTCGTATCCCCTGATTTGCAAGCGCCATGGATCATTGTGCTATATGCGACAGCATCGAGTCTGCAGTTCTTATCCATTTCATTGAACAGAACCATAGCTTGCTCCATCATTCCCTGTTGACACATAGCTGCAAGCAAAGGAATATAGTGAAATAGCTCGGCTTTTATCCCACGTTGCCTCATTGTCTGCAAGAACTTTTCCGCACGGTCAACTTCCCACATCTTGCTGAAGCCATTTATCAATATGCTATAGGTGAATGAATCAGGTTCCAATCCAGAACTAGCCAGCTCATCCATTAAGTTCATAGCCATCTTAACCTTGTGAACCCTAAGGAATCCACCAATCAGATAATTGTAAGTCACCAAGTTACACACACACACCCCTCTCGGCCATCATCTCACGAACTTTGACCGCTTGTCTCATCCGACCGATCTTACATAGTCCATGTATAATTGAGTTGAAAGTCACCACATCAGGCTCAACTACAGTATCTCCCTGAATCATCTCCTCAAGCAAACCCATTGCCTCATCCATCTCAAGCACACCAGAAAGCCCTGCGATCAGGGTATTGTATGTCACAACATCCAGTGCCACACCCTTGTCATCCATCTCCTTCCACAATGCAAGCGCCTCCCTTACCAATCCTTCCTTGCTCAGGGAATTGATGAGCACATTGTATGTCACTACATTTGGCTCCAGCCCCCGCTGCACCATCATGTCCTTCACCTTTGCAGCCTTACCCGTCCTTCCCTCTTTACACAAGTCATCGATTAAACCAGTGAACATGATCACATCTGGCTCGATCCCCCGTCGGGACATTTCTTCGAACACCTTGCCTACATCCCGCCACCTGCCGGACCTGCAGTACCCACGAAGCAAGCAGCTGTACACGACCACGTTGGGCTGGACACCATTCCCGCACATCTCACCCAGCAGCTCCAACGCCGCGTCGAGCTCCGCGGCGTCGCAGAGCCCGCGGATGAGCGTGCCGTAGGTGACGACGTCGGCGCGGACGCCGCTGGCCTGCATGGACCGGAGCAACGCGACGGCCTCCCCCGTGCGGCGTGACGCGCAGAGCCCCCGCATGACCGTGGTGTAGGACACGGCGTTGGGGCGGGCGGCCGGGTGCGCCTCCTGCGACATGTCGGCGAGGAGGGAGCGCGCCTGGCGCAGGTGGTCGCCCCCGCCCCCGCCCCCGCGCTGGCGGCAGAGCGCAGCGAGGACGGTGTTGTAGGAGACGGCGTCGCGGACTTCCGGGAGCGCGGAGAGGAGGGCGCGCGCCTCTGTCACGGACGCCCCGCGGAGGCGGCGGTTGAGGAGCGCCGCGGCGTCCGCGCGGCCCCGGCGGAAGAGCACGGCGAGGAACGGTGCCGCGGGGCGGGGCGGCTTCGAGGACGAGGAGGGCGATGGGAGCGGCGGGTGGGCGGGCGAGGCGGAGGCGGTGGACAGAGCCCGGACGAGACGGGGCTCCGGGCGCTTCCTCATGGCGGGCCGGCAGCCGGCAGGCTCGGTAGAGGCAGGAGGACTGGAGGCGGCGCCGCGGCGGCTTGGTTTCAGCAAGCGGAGCTTTGTCTCAGCAAGGCCGCGGTGTGCGTTGGTTGGGCTTCCGCGTGGGAAAATCAGAGAATGGGAGTTTGGTTGGGCTTCGGGTCTTCCTCGACGCACTTGGGCCGGCTAATTCGATTCGTGCACAGTTTCAGCCTGCCGTGACCGTGACCAGACGGCTTGGTTTCTGCAAGGTTGGGCTTGGCCGCTTGGGCTTGTTAAATCCGACACGCGTGATCAGCATGCATGGCGCTGTTGCATTGCAGTTCCAGCTGCTGCAGAGTGCAGACAGAGACAGGACATACACCGCTGCTCACGTGCAGAGGGGGGTCGGCTCACAGAGCAGGGGAGCGAGCAGTTCATAATCTGCATGGTTGGGCTCAGCCGCTCATGGGGAGGGGGGTCAGCCAGAACATGCGTGTTGCACGTACGCGAACCCGACACGGCGACACAGTCACACAGATCTCTAGGTCAGCGTGGTGCTGTCGTCCCAGGCCAGGCAGGGGTCCCATCCCAGGGCAAGTACTACATGGCCAAATGCGCCCCAAATCCAAACCAGCAGCGACCGGTTGCTGCGACGCATTACACCATTCACGAGTACTAAATGTGACGACCCCGTAAATCTAGTTCCTCTCCTGACGCGTTTTATATCGTAGTATATATGTGTGTGGCTCGTGGGAACCCTTTTGCCTTGGGCGTGTTCAATTTCTTGCTGCAGGTTTCATCAATTCGATCGGTTTCGGTATGCCTTGTGCTGCTCGTCAGCTCGCTCGAACACGCATGAATCAATGCGGAAGAAGCTGCCGAGCCCATCCAACCGCACTGGTACGTAGTAGCTGCATCACGTTATTCTCGTCACGAGTTGCTCCTGCATTCGGGAAGGATGGATGGACCAACGATGCCTTGCTTTCGATCGTTACAAGGCGAATGCCAATCAGAGACATGCATGCTAACGCTTTAATTTGAAAGTCATGAGAGACTCACTAGTTGGATCAGATATAAGTAACCCTGCTGCACTGTGGTCTACTGCACTTCACATGAACAAACACGTCCAAATTAAAGCACCCTATTTGGCAGCCATGATATATAAGTATACAGCTGGAGCTGGTCTGATGGAAATGTCAGTGTATATGTGGCAAAATAAATTAAACTGCAGGCGGACCCCAAACTCGCTTGTTGGGCCACTACTGTCAGCTCAGTAAATAAAAGTATAAAAACATTAATCAGATTTCCAAGTTAAGATAAGGTTGTGTAGCGAAAGGTTTGGTGGGTAATTACGATCCTCACGAGTCATGCGAGCCATGACTCCGTCGTCCCAACCCTACCGCTCGCCTAGCACACATCTGCACATGCAAGGCGTTGCGGCCCGCCGGCCTTCCATCCCCCACGCTACCAGCTACTTGTCATGAACTGCATCTGGCGTCAGAAGACAGGTAAGAAGGCATTCAAGACAACGGTTAAGAGTGGCTATGAGACGACCTGAGTCATTGGGCTCGTATTGCTGGGTTTGGCCCATTAGGAGTAGGGGCTCGGCCCGTGTAGCAAGTTGAGGTGTGTGCGGCTCTTATAAGCCGATGTAACGAACTGAAGGAGATTATCGAATAACAGAAATCATAATCGTTCCCCCTCTCGGTTGTCTTCCTCTTCGAGTTCTTGGTTTCCGAGTCCCCTCCATTCTTGCTCTTCAAGCCCCCTTAGTGCTGATTCTTCCCTAAATTCCCGTCCAAATCCTCTTCCAGTACCCAGTTCGTGACAAATTGGTATCGAGAGCCATCAATCCTTGGCGGATTTTTTTTCGTTCTCCTCATCGCATTCGGTCTGGCGCCGAAGAAGAAGCCTCCATCGTTGGAGGCGAAGATGGCGAGCAACGTTGAGAACATCGCGGAGGAGATCAAGGGTTTCCAGTTGATGATGCAGCAGATGCTGGACAAGATGAATGGTTTTGAGGCTTGGCGAACCACCACCGACAAGTCTTTGGGGGCATTGCTCACCAAGACGAGGGCCCATCTGGAGAAGGTTCCGACTCCACCGCCACCTCCTCCACCGACGGACTGGATTCCAAGCGGCATCGACCTCAATCGCGCCCCATCACCAGGGGCGTATCCATCCGCTTCTTCGGCGGAGTAGCCCAACCGGCACAGCGCGGGTGGAGGGGGTCTTGGCCCGATTTCGGGATCTAACCCTCCGCCGGTTAATCACCAGGGTATGCATCCCAGTCCCTCGGTTCATCTTGCTGATGATTCCTCTGGTTCATTTTCTCATACATCTCGTGCGGGTTCCACACCCAAAATGGATTTCCACAAATTCGACGGCGACAACCCGAGGTTATGGCGGGAGCAGTGCGAGATTTACTTTGAGATCTATGGTGTTTCGGAGATGATGAAGACAAGGTTTTGCTACTCTCAACTTCGTCGGTTCAGCAACGCTGTGGCTTCAAACAGTGCAGTTGAGGGGTAGATTTCATAATTGGGAAGCTATGCATACTGCAGTTTGTGCTCACTTTGACAAGGATTAGTATCCGCTACACATGAAACAGCTTGAGAACTTGAGGCAGACAGGCTCTGTAGCGGATTATTAGGCCAAGTTTGAGCAACTTGCTCACAGCATACTCCTTTATACCCCTGCATATGATGATGTTTACTTCGTCACCAAATTCTTGAGTGGTCTGAAGGAGGAGATTAGAGCACCAATCATATTACACAGACCACCCAATTGGGAGACTGCAGGCACTCTGGCTCTGTTGCAAGAAGCTGAGCTTGAGTTGACTAGGCCAAAGTCACAGTACAAATTTGATCATCGAGACTACCAGATTTCAGTCCAAGTACAGTACCTCTTCTAAAAAGCTGAAAGTGAAGAAAGATGATTCTAAGTCTACTGAAGTATCTCATGCCAATAATTCTTCAGATAAATTATCAGCCTTGAAAGCTTGCAGGCGTGCTAGCAACCTGTGCTTTACCTGTGGGGAGAAGTGGACTGGGAGGAACAACAAATGCCCTACACAGATACCCCTGCATGTGATTCAGGAACTGATAGAAGCTGTTCAAGAGGAAGCTGAGATAGATTATGACTCTGCTGAGGAGGATATTGAAGCTCCTGCTGGACAAGTTATGGCAGTGAAGCCAGTATCTCTTCCAGGTTCTGATGGTACCAACAAGAGGAAAAATAGAACTCTGAGGCTGACACGATTCATTGAGTCCAAGAGGTGCTGATTCGAGTTGAGTCTGGTAGTGCTGGTACTTTCATAAGTCAGGAGATAGCTGCTCAAATTTCTTAAGCAAAGGAATCATGTGAGCCCTTGCAATTCACTACTGCAGATGGCAGTATGATGTTATCAGACACATTTATCCCAAAGATGCAGTGGCACGTGTAGGGATACACTTTCAATCATGATACCAAAATATTACCATTATAGTGTTATGATATGGTGTTGGGAGCAGACTGGCTTGAGGACCACAGCTCAATGTTGATTTATTGGAAGAAGAAGCTTCTCAGATTCACCGATAACAATAAGAGAATTTCTTTGAAAGGGGTCAAGGATGAAGCAAGCAAATGTGCTCAAGTGTCAAACCACAAGCTCAAGGGGCTCCTCAAACATAAAGCAGTTCACATGTATTGGAGGTTAAGGCTATTTGCTCACTAGATCAGATTGTGGAACCTCAAGATCATCTCATGACCATGGCACCATCTGCTGATCAGTTGCCACCTCCTGCACAACAGTCACTGCGAATTCCATCTGAGATTGAATCTCTATTACTGCAGTACCAGCATTTATTCTAAGAGCCTACTGAGTTACCTCCAAAGAAACCCTATGATCATCATATACCATTAGTCCAGGGAGCTCAACCAGTAAATGTGAGACCCTATAATATGCTCCTCAACAAAAGGATGAGATTGAGAGACAAGTGGCTGAGATGTCGAAGTCAGGGATTATCCAGCATAGTGTGAATCCATATGCTTCCCCAGTCTTGTTAGTGAAGAAAAAAGATGGCTCTTGGAGGTTTTGTGTAGATTATAGACATGTAAATGCTATAACAGTAAAGAACAAACATCCTTTGCCAATTATGGATGAGTTGCTTGATGAATCAGCTGGAGCAAGCTATTTTTTAAAACTGGATTGTAGATCTGGTTATCATCAAATCAAGGTGATGCAAGGAGATGAGATGAAAACGGCATTCAAAACCCATAGTTGATTATATGAGTTTACAGTAATGCCATTTGGACTGACAAATGCCCTAGCCGCCTTTTAGGCAGCTATGAATACTATCTTTGCTCAATTACTCAGAAAGTGTGTTCTAGTGTTTATGGATGATATTTTGGTGTACAGTAGAACTCTTGATGAGCATATCAGTCATCTTTAGCAAGTGCTTGAGATTTTACATAAAAACAACTTTCTGTTGAAAAGATCTAAGTGCATCTTTGCTGAGCAATCACTGGAGTATTTGGGGCATATCATCTTCAAGACTAGGATCTCCAATGAACCAGCCAAGATAGCTGCAGTACAAAATTGGCCATTACCAAGAACTGTCAAGTAGCTAAGGGGCTTTTTGGGGCTTCCTGGTTACTATAGGAGATTCATCAGGCATTATGGCCTAATCAGCAAACCACTCACTCAGCTGCTTAAGAAAGGAGTGACTTTCATGTGGACACCCAAGCCCAAGAGGCATTTGAGTTGTTAAAGTCTGCTCTGAGCACTGCTCCAGTCCTTACCATTCTAGATTTCAGCAAACAGTTCATTATTGAAACAGATGCAAGTGATTTAGGCATGTGTGCTGTATTGATGCAGGAAGGCCATCCTATATCATTCATCAGCAAAGCATTTTGCCTAAGAAATCAAGCACTTTCAACATATGAGAAAGAGTGTTTGGCTCTAATAATGGCAGTGAATAAATGGAGGAGTTATTTATATGGATAGGAATTTATTATTAGGACTGACCATAAGA